TCACTGGGGCCCTCTGAGAGCCTGGCTTCCCTCCGCTGGCATGCAGAAGCAGCTAGAAGGGCTCCGTGGTGGCAGCACGAGCCACCATGGACCCACTCCTTTGTCTCCCAGGTGTGAGCCAGGGTGCTTGCCGCATATGACTGTCTAACCCCCGGGTGTCTTTCCAGCTGTGTCATTCTGTATCCATGTGGGCACATGTGTCCAAGCCTGTGTGCACACTGCTGGATTTCCTAGGGTGTGTGGCCAGGCACTTACGTGTATGCACGCATTTGTCATCTCCACACAGGCAGTGCCAGGACGTGAGAGTTGGTGTGAGTCTTGCTGCTTCCTCCTGTGTCCATCTCTTTGTCTCTGAATGTCTAGTGCACACTGAGCTGATGGGACTGAATAACAGTAGTAATCGAAACAGCTCCAGTATTATGTCACACACTGTGTTAAGCACTTTAGAGACATCAACGTGAAGGAGTCTGTTCACAGATGAAGCAGCTAGAGCTCTGAGAGGGGAAGTAAACCGTCCAAAGACACATACAGCTAATAATGGCAGGGCTGTGATTTGAACCAAGTCTGGCAGATTCCAAAAAGGCTGGATTTGAGTACTTGCTGTGTCCCTTACAAGCTGAGGGACTATGTGCAAGTTATCCCCATCTGTCAACATAGGGATAACACTTTGTGGGATCACTGTGAGGATCCAGTGAGTGTGGAAAGGGCTTTTCACGGGACCTGGCGAATAAGAGTGCTCATACTTCTGTCCGTTACCGAGCTTCAATGCAGCGGGGGACAGAAAGTCAGGCACAAAGAAGCGGGCCCCAGCCCCCCAAGCTCCTGTCTCTGACAAAGTGAAAAGCCTAGGGATTCCGGAAGCCCTGACTGACAGGAATGAGTGTTGGGTTTTCCAGAGCTCTAATTATCAGCTAGATGAATCACTTAGAGCTGACACCACCATCCCCACCCTCAGGAGGCTCTCAGCCAATTCAAAATACAGAATTTTAACAAAGAGGAGGAGGAGGAAGAGAGAGAGAGGAGTAGGAGAGGTAATGAAGAGAAAGGAAAGGTGCCAGCCAAAGGAAATGAAATACTGTCACCAGGACACCAACAGGAGGAGACCGCTGCATCACACACGTGTGTGTGTGCACATGCGCGCGCGCACACACACGCACACACACACACGGTGACATACTCTCCTGCTGGCTCCCCAACTCTGGGCATGCTGGCAGACGGTGCTGCCATAACAAAGTGACGCCTGTCACAACAGCATGAGATGGTTGCTTGAGGATGTACCAGCAGATCTGCCTATTACAGAAGGAGAGGAGGAGACCTTCAACCCTGGGGAGCTTCCTCAGGCTCCTGGAACCCAGCGAACCCTTCCTACTGGCTGACTTCTGACTTCTCTTTGTGGCCAAGCCCCTAGACCCAAGGTATGGCAAGTTCCGAGTGCCAGGCCCACACCTGGAGGCTGGGTACCACCACTGTGAGCAGAGGCACCACTTATCTTACCCGGTTGCCAGCATCGGGAGGGCTGGGAGGCAGAATAGTGTAGTGCAGTAGTAAAGATCATGGAGTTTCAGGCATACAGACCTGAGTTCAAATCCCCACCCTCCTCTTCACTGGCTCTTCGACCTTGAGCAAGTCACCTCACCTCTCTGGGCCTGTTTGTTCATCTGTAAAATGGGGCTACTAATATAAACCTCCAGGGTTGTTGTAATGATGAAATGAGATGATTCATTCATTCCACAAAGATTTATGGAGTGCCTGCTATGTGCAGAGCACTGAGCTGGATGCTAGAGATCCAGTGGGACCAAACAGACCACAGTTCTGCCCTCCTGGAGCACGTAGAGCCCCTGGCACAGGGCCTGGCACACAGTGAGATTCAACAAGCAGTCGCTATCTGTGATGACCATCTTGGCATTCTGCCATTACCTTAATCACAGGACCTGGCAGATGCCTCCACCTTCCCCCTGAGGAAAGTGGACCTCAGTTTCCTCAACTGTAAAATGACAGAGTTGGATTGGATCAGTGATTCCCAACCTTCTCACCTTGAAAGCTCCTTTTAGTATTTTCCATCCACATGAGCCTTGTATCTGATAAGATTTTGTCTCCCGTACAACCTGCATCAAGTCATTTCTTCCTTTTTATTCATTACAGCCTCGCATTACTGCCATAAGAGCTTGTGGTCAGAAGGAGCAAGCCAGTGTGACCACCACGCAGTTGGTATAACTCCAGCACGAAGCGGAGACCAAGCTAGCTTGGGTAACCTTCACATACTATGTGCTGTTTCTCTGGGTCCATCTGGAACACTGATAAGAACTCAAGGGACTCCTGCTGCCCTCAGGGACCCTTCAGTTGGGGATGCCAGACTGGAACTCACTGAACTGGATGCTCTCCTACAAGTCCCATCCAGCTGAGAGCTGGAGATGTCACATCACTTGTGTGGCCCCCAAGGAGATCTGAACTTCAAGCCATAGGCCACCCAGCTCTCTTCAGAGCCCTGGGAGTCTCCTCCCAGGAGTCTCCTCCCAAATGAGAGAGCATCCTGTACTCTTCTCTCCAAGGCCTGGAGGGGAGGGAGAGGAGGGGGCATGCCATCCCACCTGAGCACTCAGAATTCCGGGGGGCTCAGTCAGCAACAACATCGGTGTATGTGCGGGCTTGAACAAAGGCTGCAGCAATGAGCACAAAACCAAACTCCGATGGGACGATGACATTTTGAAATATGTTTTTCATCTTTTCCTTGGTGTCCCTCCACCCTTCCCTTGCGCAGGTAGTTAGGACACTCTGCATACATTACGCCAGGAAACAAATGATACGACAGAATGCAGAGTTCATTTTTGGCTTCTGAATTCCAAGAGGCTTGCCTTCAGGGAGGAACGGAAAGAATTATCTGTGCAGATCCAAATTTAGAAAACCGTAACAAGGGGGATCTGGGAGACTGAGACTTTAGGGGGCGGTCCCTGAGAATAGAGAAGCTTCTCCTCAGCCTCTGAGCTAGAGGGCATCAGGGCCCGGGAAGCAGGAAGAGTTGTGCTCCTTTTCCTGGTGGAGCACCAAGAAGTAATAAAACCCTCTGAAGAAACAGCTGTGCGCTGCACTGGGGCAAACGGCGGGGCCTAACTAACCCAAGACCCTAGGAATTTCCTGGGCCTGAGTGGCCTGGAAAAAGTAGAGTAAGAATCTGAATACTGAGAGGGGGATGGGTCAGGAAGGAGCAACTCAGCAGCATCCCGAGCAGGCTGAAGACAGAAAACCAGTACAAAACTAGGACATCTCAGGGGATGCTAGTGTGACTGGACCGGACACCATCAGATCAGACTACCCTGCCCAAGCTTTGGCATCTTCAAAGGAAGTGCCCTAGAATTCAACCAATTCTGAGGAAAGTGATGGGGAACTCTGAATTGACTGCAATTAAGTTTCTGCCACTCTGGCTGAGTGACGCCAAATATGAATTCAGTTGAGGTAGAGAAAATTCAATTTATATTTCTTACACACCTGAAATTGGAACCAGCTATACTCCTTAACCACAAGGCCCTGTATCATTTGCCTCACCCCCTTCCCATTTCTCCTGCCTCCCTCCCCTCTGTCAACAGTCACAAGGGTATTCTGTTATTGCCCCCAACCCCCAAGCTTTCTCACCTCAGGACCTTTGCACAGGCAATTTCCTCTGCCTTCCCTTGGCTGTTTAAATGGTACGCTCCATCTCAGTTTTTTTTTTTCTTTTTCTTTCTTTTCTTTCTTTCTTTCTTTTTCTTTCTTTCTTTCTTTCTCTTTTCATTAATTTTTATTAGAGTATAGTTGCTTTACAATGTTATGTTAGTTTCTGCTGTATACCAAAGTCAATCAGCTATATGTATACGTATACCCCCTCTTTTTTGGATTTCCTTCCTATTTAGGTCACCACAGAGCACTGAGTAGAGTTCCCTGTGCTATACAGTAGGTTCTCATTGGTTATCTATTTTATACATAGTAGTGTATATATGTCAATCCCAATCTCCCAATTCATCCCACCCCCCCTTCTCAGTTTAACTTCTTCAGTCCATACTTTCTGAAATAAAACCGCCTATTTTCTCTCAAAGGGCCCTGTTTATTTCCTTCATGATGCCTATATGTTTACTTTTGTTAGTCTCCCCCCTCAGAACATCAGCTCCCTGAGAGCAGGACCTCTGTCTTGATGTTCCCTCAGTAGCTAGCACTGTGACTCAAATTACTTGTGGAATGAATGACCCGTGGCTTGCCATAGCTTGGCGGGCACCGAGCTCCCTCCACCCCTGCACCTGGGCCCCTGCCAGCCTTTCCCAGCAATCCAGGACCAGATGCCAAGACCCATAACCTTGGGGCTTGAACACTTAGCTGTGCTCTACCCCAGGGACTCGTCATGAGTATGTCTCAGTGGACCCTGGTTCCCTCCCTCCCACCTGTCCTGCCAGTGCCTTGCCTCAGAACCATACAGACCCACTGGCATCTGTACACAACGCTTATGGAACATGTCCAGAGCCCCTCTTCCCAGCAACCCGTGCTAGCCCTACCACTTTGCTCTCTGGCCTGGGGGCTCTTCCTTGCTCTGCTCCCGATGTAAAAGCCTCAGACCTAGACCTCTCCTCCATCCTTAGGCCAAACTCCCAGCATGAGACCTCTTCAAGTTTGGGGGCATCTGCAGACACGTGGGAAATGTCTGCAAGGGAGGCTGTGCGCGGACTTCCCTCCGGTTCATCATTTACCGGAAGCAGTGGCTCTCTCCCCACTGGCTTTGAGAACACGGACGTTTCCACAGTGAGGAACCCCTTTCTGTGCCTGCCCTCTGGTTTCTCTTACCAGCAGTCTTCTTCTTGTGCTGCTCCCCTTAACTCTAGCTGTCAAAGGGGCCTGGAAACTCAGAGAAGTGGTTTTCTCCCTGCTAGGACCCAGTTCTCTCCGGAAGGCAAAGGGCAGAGTCTAAGTGCCTTCTGGGGCCTCTGGGAAATGAAGTAAATACAATAGGCAGAAGATTCATGGTGGGTGGGTGGGTGTGATAATGCAGATTCTCGGGTTCCAGGTTCTGTTTCAAATCTGGGGAGCCAGGAAGGTGGCTCTTCTAGACACATCTCAGTTGGTTCTGATGAGGTGGTCCAGGGACAACACTTGGACAGACTGGGCTAGAATGTGAATGCAGTGACCGTGGGCTGCCAGCGCCCAAATGAACACTCCTCTCCAATCTCCCTCAGGAAATGATTACCTCCTCTGCTAGATTCTAAGCCCCTCTCCAGAAGGGACCAAAGCTTATTGGACAATGTGTGCTCAGCAGAAGGCCTGGCACAGGAAAGCTGCTGTGGACGTTTGTTTGACGAAGACAAACTCTCTGGTTCCAGAGGACAGAGCCACTTCTACCGAGATGGTGGCAGGGCTGGGACGGCTGCAAGGCAGCTACAACGAAGGCTGGGGTTCTAACCCCGAGAACGCCTTCTTCCCTGAAGACCCAATGACTCTCAGAATCGGAGCCTGATTTCTTGCTGTGGGATGAGCTCCCACACTTGAGGGGAGGGCCCAGGATTACTCCAGCCTCTCCACCTCAGGAAAGACCAATGAGACTAACAACCTCTTCAACAGGGAATCGGAACAGAAGAGCCGCTTTCCCCCTGACCAGACTGAAGGCCTCTCCTACGTCTCAAGCTTTGCTGCATATTCGTATCACCTGGGAAACTTAAAAAAAAAATCCCACTGCCCAGGCCACACCTCATACCAAGTAAATCCAAATAGGTGAGGGTGAGATAGGTGATTCCAATGTGCAGTCCTGCTTGCGACCCAGCACCCTACGACACAGGACCAGCAGGGAGCCCAGTGCAGAGGGAAAAGCATGAGGCACAGACTTGTTTGCATCCCATTTAGTTTTGCGAGAAAAAAACTGCAATTACAAGAGACGTGGGGGTGCTCAGGCCGAGCACATTCAACAATCTTCACTGGGAGAGGGCTGAAAGCTATCTGACACATTCCCTAAACCAGTAAATCAGAGATTCAGATAAACAATGATCCAAAGGGGGCACTGTCATCTACCCCAAGGCCACAGACAGATAACTAGAATTCTGGGTCCCAGGGTGAGTCTGGGAGGTGGGACCCTGTGAAAGGCAGCTGTGACAGGTGATGTCTGTCAGACACCAGCTTCTGGACTGGCCCTCCTCCCTTTCCAGGTTCTGGGCGGGGAGGGAGAGTAGGCTTTGGCTCAGTAGAACTCTGGAGGAACCTGAGTGGGGACGAGGGCTGGCTGAGGGGACAGGCTCACTTATAGCTCTTGGAGGGAAATTCCCGCCGGCCTTTCCCCTTGCCGCCGAAGTTGCGCACCCGATGGATGACCTGCAGCTGCTGCTCAATGGTCGCGGTGATGTTCACATCATCGGGGATGTGGACGTAACGGACATTGCGGCCTGTCACAAAGAGGTCATCCAGCTCGACCTGATGCCCCCAACGGTCCGTGTAGGTGACCTGGGCCAGGCGGATGTTCATGAAAGCATCGACGTTGTCTATGCGTCCGCGGGCCATGCTCTCATCCCGCAGGTCCACGGTGGTGACCTGGCCCTGGAGGCCCTGCAGCAGGATGATCAGGCTGTTCTCAGAGATGGTCCGCTCCTTCACTGAGTGGCTCACTGCCATCCTTCCACACTGCAGCTGCTCGCTCTGGGAGGGGCACACAGAGGGGACCTGTGGCAGGCTAGCGGGTGCAGGTGCTAACTCACCTCCACCAGGTGTTAGCACGAAATCCCCAGCCCAGACATTCCCAAGTCTGCCCACCTCCCCAATTTCTGTGTCTATGGAGCACCCTTAGGTGCTTCAGGTACACACCTCATAGAATCCTCACAACACCTTGCAAGCCAAGGATCACTTATACTCACTTTATAAATGAGGAAAATATGGCCGGGAGAGGTTAAGTCACTTGCCCAAGGTCACACAGGTGATAAGCGGAGGTGCTGGGATTCAAACCCATCTCTGCCTGACTCTAAACCCCACACCAGTGGTTCTGAACCCTCACTGTATGTTAGAATCATCCGCTGAGTTTTTACCTGGCTGCCACACCCCAGAGGTTCTGATTCATTTGGTCAGGGGTGGGTCCCAGGTATCCTATTTTTTAAAAGCTCCCCAGGTAATTCTAATGTGCATCTGAGTTTGAGAACCACTGCTCTCAAGTGTAGTTTACACCCTTGCTACCCAGGCACTTGTTAGAAATACAGAATCTCCAGGCTTTCCCCAGACCTACTTAGAGAATCTGCATTTTAACGTGACCCCAGGTGAACCACCAGTTCTCAAACAATCGCCTGCATCAGAATCACCTGGAGAACGTGTTAAAACACAGATTGCTGGGCCCACCTTTCAGTTTCTGACTCAGTCGGTCTGAGGTGGGGCCCAAGAATGGGCACTTCTAAAATATTCTCAGTTGATGCTGATGTTACTGGCCTGGGGCGCACTGAGAACGACTGGTCTACAGGATGCTGCCAACATGTAACCAGAAATTTAGATAATTGATTGAAAACAAGAAATGGTAGCATATACAGCACATATGTTTTGAAGGTAGAGAAATGGAGGTTCGACTCCCCACTCCACCCACACTCTGTAAACGTAAGACAGTTACTTAACGTCTCTGAACCTGTTTCCACGTCTATTGAACCATAGGCTAAATGAGACTAACAAGCTCTCACCACACTGAATGTATTTTCCTTTGCTTTCGATTATGCCCTGATGCTGTATTAATGTAACTTTGTCTTATCTATCCTCCATTTTCAGACCCTGAGTGCAAGTTGGTGGAACTTTCTTTTCTTTCCTTAAGACCTCACTCAGGATAACGAAAGGGCTGTGCAGGGTGGTATTAAGTGTGGCAAGCTACCCATACCACTGACGAGAGGCTAGGAGCTGGGCCGGCCGACTCTAACGACCCCACCCAGGCTTCACCAGGAGTACGTGTCCAAGCAAGGGTTTGGGGCAGCACAGTGACTGCAAAGAGGCAGGTCTGGTCTCGAGGACGGGCTCGGCCACTTCCTAGGAGGGCGACCTCGAGCAAGCCACTTGGCTTCTTCAAGCCTGTTAGCCAATCCCTAAAAGGGGGACGGTGATCACCCTTTACTCACAGAGCGTGGGAGTGGGCTTGGGTGAGGAGCTACGCTCAGCAACCGGGAGGAAAACGCTGGCCCCGCTCCCGCCGCCTCCGCGGCTCCTGGTTCCCCAGCGTTCCGCCCCTGGCTCCCGGACCCACCGCGCGCGTTCCTTCCGCTGTCCCGCTGCGCGTCGCCGCCGAAACTAGCGAGCGCCTAGCCGGGCTGCTCCTCTCCCGCGGCCGAACTCAGAAGCCATGGCAACCGAAGGGCCGCTCTGCCCTCCCGGAGCATCGAGAGCGCGGCTGCGCGCAGGGCCCGCGACCCCGCGGTGGGCCCGGAACTACAATCCCCAGAAGGCCTCGCGGGCGCGTGACTCGCGCTCCTGCCCCCGCGGCCTACGTCATTGGATTCTCGCCTATTTTGGAGTCATTCTTCCGTTCAGCGAAGCCGGTCGCCCCTCCTCGGCAGTTAGTTCCCGAACCCCCGCGAATACCGAAACCAGGGATGCTCAAGTCCCTTCTATGAAGTGGCGTCGTATAGGAGGGTTCCGCATTCGCGGATACGGAGGGCCAGCTGTATTCATTGAACCTTCACCGTGTGTCGGACACTTTCCCAGGCTCTGGTCGTAGGGGTGACCAAGGAGACAAGCTCCGTGATCTGATGACCCGACCCTTAAATCTACTGGGGCGGGGGGAGGCGGGGGAGGCGGGGGAGTCGCCTATGAGAAAAAGAAAATTATGATAAAATTTCTTCAGAGAATTAAAACGGGTCAATGTTATAGTGACTGGGTGACTTTTTATTGGACGGTCAGGGGTGTCCTGAGAAGGTGACATTTGACATCTGAGTTGAGATGAATTACATGAAGCCAAGCTTGTGAACGCTAGGAGAAGAGCATTGCAGTTAGAGGGAACAGTTTGTGCAAAGGACCTGGTGCAAATGAGCTTGACAATTTGGAAAAGCGGAAAGGCCAGTAAGACTGGGAAGAGTAGTGTGACAAGAAGTCGGAGAGGAAGGCAACAGCCAGGGTATTTAGGATTTTGCAAGCCAAGGTAAGGCGTTTGGATTTCTGGATTAGGAGTGCAGGCTCTGGAGGCTGTGCCTGGGTTTAAATCTGCCCCTTGTTAACTGTGTGACTTTAGACAAGTTAATTATCCTCTTTGTGCCTCAGGTTTCCTCATCTGGAAACCCGTTACTGGAAGTGCAACGATAGGCCATCAAAGGAGAGTGACAGGATCTAATTTACTTTTTAAAAGGTCATTCTGTATAGCCTTGGAAAAGCTGCTTATCTTTCTGCAGCCTCAATTTCATTAGAAGAAAACAAAACATACTGACTAACTCAGAGAATTGTTTTAAGGTTTGAGTGACCTTCATTAATGTGTGAAAGCACCTGGCACACAGGAGCTCAATACGAGTTAGGTTTGTGTCATTCCTTTATCCTCTCATTCACTGGTTTCCACCTTCCCCAGGAGCCTTCTCTTTTTACCAGTCATCTCCAGTCATCACAGAGACCGCTCCTTATCCTAAAAATTGAAATTGTCTTTCTCCTCCATGCATGCTACTCTTGTTTTCCTACCTTCCACAGTAGAACTTCTCAGGAGAGGCCTCTATATCAGTGGTTCTCCAGTTGCAGTCCCTTTTCCAACCTTACTTCTGTGTGAGACTGGATTTTCTTCATGTACTTCAGCCGAAACAACATAGCACAATGGGCTGAATGCAGAAGCAGATATGAGAATCCGACTGTCTTCTACTGTGATAGACATTAAAGAGATTTGCAAAACTATGAAGCAGTGTCACTCTTCTCACCATATTTTTTCTTTTGGAAAATATAGTTATTTTAAAATAAAAATATGTTAATGGGTCTGTTGTTATTTAAAAGAGAATTAATATTAAAATTTTAATTTCATAGATATGTAATTACCATATATACACACACACACACACACACACACACACACACACACACACACACACATATATATCCCCCACATAAACAAACACTTTTGGGGGTTTTCAATAATTTTTTAAAAAATAAATTTATTTATTTATTTTTGGTTGCATTGGGTCTCCGTTGCTGAGTGTGGGCTTTCTCTAGTTGCAGCGAGCAGGGGCTACTCTTCGTTGTGGTGCGTGGGCTTCTCATTGCGGGCTTCTCTTGTTGCAGAGCACGGACTCTAGGCACGCGGGCTTCAGTAGTTGTGGCACGTGGGCTCAGTAGTTGTGGCTCACGGGCTCTAGAGCACAGCCTCAGAAGTTGTGGCACACGGGCCTAGCTGCTCTGCGGCATGTGGGATCTTCCTGGAACAGGGCTCGAACCCGTGTCCCCTGCATTTGCAGGCGGATTCTGAACCACTGCACCACCAGGGAAGTCCCTTCAATAATTTTTAAGAGTACAAAAGTGTCCGGAGACTGAAAGTTTGAGAACTGCTGCTCTATCCTGAAGGCTTTCACCTACTCACTCACCTCACTGTAATCTGGCTTCTTCTCGAGTATTTTGAGTTCTACTCCCATTAACTTCTCTGAAGAAGGTTACTAATGATTTCCTTGTTCTTAAGAGAACCTCTATCTCTTTCTTAGTCCTTACTTCCATGATCCTTCTCAGTGATTGACCATACTGACCATCGTCCTCCTTGGTAATTTTTTTTCCCCTGGGGCTTTGTATCACTTGGTTTCACCCATTTCTCTGATTGTTTCTTCTCCATCTCTCTTTTTTTAACCCCACTTCATTCTGCTCCCTAAACATGTGTGCTTTTTCTGGGGCTGTATTCCTGGCCCAGCTCTCTTCTTGGTCGAGTATCTCTTTGCCACCTACTACTATATGCTGAATTTCTGTCTACATCTCTAGCCCAGAGTGCTCCACAGAAGACCTCCATTTCCCAGCTGTCTGTTGCTTATTCTCACATGTGTCACTGGTACATGGAACTCAGCGTGTCTATAGGACAAGTTCATCAGGTCCTTCCCAAATGAATTGCTACTCTGAATTTTTCTATTTCTGTGGTTGCTACCACCATTTTTCAACTACCCAAGTTGGGCACCTTGAATAAGCTTAACAACTTCTATCATTTCCGGATTCACCCACATCTGTCACAGTCACTGAACTCTGAAGATTCTTTGGAATTTGTCTCCCAGTCTTCACTTGCCTTTTTATTCTGACTGCCACCATTCTAGTTGAGACCCTCTTTTTCTCATTTAATTCATAATAAAAGCCATCTTACTGGTCTTTGTGTCCCATGATCCTTTGCGAACAGATTCAAAGTACAGTTATGATCTTACTTACCTGCTAAGAAAAAAATCAATTCACTAGCAGAATAAAGTTTCCAGTGCTGACATTGATTTGATTCCAACTTACCTTCCAGCTGAATCTCCTTCAGGTTCTCTACCCAAACTCTCCAACCAGTGTTTCTTAAAGTGTGGTCTGGGAACCAGTTGCCTTAAAGTTATCTGGAATGCTTGTTAAACCCAACCCCACACCTACAGACTCAGGAGTGGAGCTCGGGGATCTGCACATCTAACAGTGTACACTACAATTGGAGACCTGCTGCCCTCCTTTCTAGTCAGACTCAGCAACCCCCAGACAAGCCCTGCACTCTTGTCTCTGCCTTTGCTATCCTGCTCCATCTGCCTGGGAGCTTCTCTTTTTATCTATAGATGTTAAGTCCAATCCCTCCTTCAAAGGCTGGCTCCATTGCTGTACCTTTCTGAAGTCTTCCCTGATTACCCCAATTGGGAGTGACGCTGATATCGTATTGCTTGGTATATGTTTGCTGGTTGTATGCAGTTTCACCATAGTTATTTACGTAAATCTTGTTTCTCCTGCTCATCTCTTGGGTGTTGAGACAGGGAGAAGGTCCTAAGAGGCACAAGTGCTTCACCCTACAAATAGCAGTTGCGGGAGGGACTGGTTTTATGAATGTGGTGAGAAGGTGATGGGGATCTGAATGAACTGGTGGCAGTGGGGTGGAAAGAAGGGATGAGTGTTACAGACTCTGAAGGGAGCTAATCAGAATCCTTGGGGGCTGATTAAATCTGGAGCGTGGTTTGCAGAGGGGGAATCAATGATTTAAATTTTAACACTGTGTATCCAGAGAGGTGGTGGTCCATTGATAGGAATAAGAGGGTTGGGGGGTCATGCCTGTGGAGGGTATCTCAGTTTTTGGCTACTCAGCCACTGAACTCCTTTCCCATTTGGGGAAATCTGACATTCTATGAATTGCAGTGGGAGGTGAGGTTCTGCTTCCCACTCCAGATGATTTAAAGGCCTTGTCAGGTATGGCCTGGGCTTGTGACATAAACTCAGGCATTATCAGATTCTAAATCTGGAGCAAGTGACATGAACCAGCAGGAACTGGTGTCTGCGTCATCCAGTGCCTCATTCCTGGGGGTGCTGCTGGTGCTGGAGTGCTTTCCTATGCTGCCTGCCCTTCCTCGGTTCCTGGCCATTTCCCATGGTCCTTCAGTCTTCCTGACAACTGTGAGTTGCCTGAAGGCACTTTCAGTAGATTCCTTCTCTACCTAAGTAGCCAGAATTACTTCCAATGTTTTTTGCAACCTCAAACCCAGACAAGGGTCCACTTGAATTGAGTTCAAGAGCCTTGAATTTCCCTGTTCCCTTTAGATGAGCTCTGTTGTGGTTCTGTATCCCTTTGTCAGAGGATCACAGAATCCTGAGAGTTAGGGCGATTCCCAGGTCACCTGCTCCAACTTACCACCCAGGGTCCAAATCCCCACTTCACCCCCCCACAGATCCCCCTGTAACCACTGCCCGAGACTCCAGTGACCAGCAGCTCACTCTTGTGCCAGCTGTTTTACTCCATTGTTGAGAAGTTTTGGGTAACTTCTACCCATCACTTCTGGTTCTTTTCTATGGAGAACTGTCTTATTTCGTATTATATTTAAGAAGTTTCTTCATGCCTTTCAAAAGTGGAATAAACGTCCTGAATAAATAAAAATGACGTCAGTGTTAGACACTAAGCTTAGGGTGATGGAGCATCTCAGGGAAAGTGAGTCTGCAGTCAAGGTGAGGTGGGGGATACAGAGATTTGTGAGTTAATAGTACTGGTTGAAAATAATGGCCTCTCTGAAAAAAGGGATGCAAAACAATTTGCAGAAGAGTGCAGACTGAGCACTGCAGGGCACATGAAACATTTGGTCAGCACGGGGCAAGAGCACTGGGGTGAGGGTAAGGGACAGGGTGAAGGTGAGAAATGGAGTGTGTGAGACAGATGAGGTGAGAATGAGGATGGGGGTGGGGGAAAACGCCAGGGATGAAATAAGGATCCTCCAGCAGTTGCCCTGGCCGTTCTGACAGACTTAGAAACAGCTACATTAATGCCTGCATCAAAGACAGGCCATCCTCAATCAGA